ATACCATCCAGTCCCACCCCCTGCATGGGCAGGGACACCTCCCAGCAGCCCAGGCTGCTCCAAGCCCCATCCAACCTGCCCTTCAACACTGCCAGGGATGGGGCAGCCACAGCTTCTCTGGGCAACCTGGGCCAGGCTCTCACCACCCTCACAGCAAATGATTCCCTCCTCAGATCTCATCTCAATCTCCCCTCTTCCAGTTTCAATCCACTACCCCTTGTTCCCCCACTTAGGTGTATAACCTTTACCCCTGCATTTATGAAGGTGCAATCAGTAGGATATTTTAATTTTTTTTCAGAATTATATAAAGCATTTGCCTAATCTAGATGAAGCCTGGGAGATGTAACCATTTTAAAATGGCAATTAAAAGCATTTGGTACAAATCTCAAATGACAGCCCTCAGCTTGCTATTTTAGCCTCAGTCTGGTAAAGGATAAGCACGGGAGGCATCAGAATTGCAAATAGAAAATTGTAAACCAGAACCATTGCTTCTCTAATTTGATTTACCAAACCCATGGAAATCAATAGGAAACGTGCCTTTGCATGTTGCACTCAGTTTTGTTTTTTTGGCCAAACTCTCTCTGTCTCATTTCACAAGCACAGACAGAACTGGAAAAAAGCAAAGCCTTGCTTAAACTTCCAAAAAGAAATGCACTCTGAAATCTCTGGGACAGTAATATTCCTCTGCAAAGAAGGCTTAACATTTTTCATGAAAACAGCACTAGAAATGCTCCAATGTACATGTGAATTTTCAACTCTCTCACTTCTCCCCCGGGAATTAATTACTACAGATGTGAGTAATTATTTTTGAATGGCTCTGAATACAATTTTTGTCTACACGTTGATGTGTAGCTATTTTACATGTTCCATAGCAAGCTCAATGAAAACACTCAGCTTGCAAACATCTTTCCCTTTGCAGTGGGTTGTGTGATGACAGCACCACGATCCTGACAGAAGAAACATCTGGAAAATTACCACCCACCAGGTGGGGGCCTCGAGTGTGCCAAAATAAATCAATGTCTTGTAAGTGACTTTCATTCTAAACACAGGACTTCAGTAAATAACCACTTCCATTCATCTCTTGCCATTTTCACTCTCTAGGCAGAAAAATGACACTTTTCTGTTCTTGTGACTCCCTCTTCTGCTGATGGGACCTTCCCTTTCCCTTTTTGAGCTTTTGGCTTCCCTGCTATTTCATTAAACCAAGCTCCACTTTATTTCTCAACTAACTTTTCTAACATTTGCTGTGTTGGTTTCTCACAGCTTCTCTTGAACCAAAGCTTAAAATGCCAAACAAGTTTCTCCCTTGTCCTGCTTTTCTACCATTCCATCACCCCTTTATGCCTTTCTTTTAACTCTACTGACAAAGCAGGTGATAAGAAGTAGGATCTGACAGAAATATGTAACACTGCTCTGGTGATTCATCCAGGCTGGAGTCTTAGTATCACAGAACCAGAAAGTAAACTAAAGCAAGCCCCAGAGAAAGAGGGCTGGAGAGAGAGATGGACCCACAGGGGCAACAGGCTGTGCAATGGGCTGGGTAATTGAGCACCACCAAGAAGGACTCTGAGTCCTGACTCTGCAAACACATGCCTGTGTGTCCAAGAGCTGTACTCACAGAACTCCATCATGTCAAAATTCTTGTCTTTTTGATATAAACCATTCCTGTTCTGATGCTCCCAGCAGGGAGCATCCATCTCACACCACCACATCAGCAGGACTGAACGCATCCATCTCACACCACCACATCAGCAGGACAAACTCGACTGAAGTACCCTCTGCTCACCCATAATGTGCTGCTGGGTGTGCTCCTTGGAGCCTCAAACACAGGGCTGGGCTGAGAGCCAGACACTGGTCTTCATGAAAGAGAGATACAGATAACACACAGATAAATGCAATGCTTCTTACAGATTCACAATCAACTTCTTAAATTGATTAGTTTTTGCTCTTAAAACATACGTGCTCACTGTTGCAAAGCAACTGGAGAGTCCTGAAGGTCCTGATAACACAACAGCTGCTCCTGGCACCCACAGGGAAACAGGTTGTTCCTCTTGCTCACACCTCCACATGACCAGGATTATTTAAACTGTAGACATCACCCCCCAGCAAAGCTCCTTTGCTTCAGCCTCTCTGTTCCACCTGCTCTCTGCCAGCACTGCACCTCTGGCACTGGCCATTTCTCCTTGTTAATTCCTGTTGTCAGCAAAACTCTTCAAAACTCTGCTTGGCTGAGCTGGTCTGGACAGAGCCACCTCCAGCTCTACAAGCTCACTTGATGCCAGCCAGTGGAGACACTGTCCTGGTGTTACAATGCAGTAGAGTCTAATTACTCCTAGCAGAACAGGTCTTTAAGGAAAATCCCTACTACCAGTGCCCTTTACAAGTTTCATTATTAAGCACATCCTTTGTGTTACTTTTTACAGCCACCTGGCAAACTCAGAAATGAAGCTCAACCACTCTGTGTCTCCTTAGAAACTCTTGGTTTTTATCAAATGGCCTTAAAAATACTGTCAATATTACAGACTTCAACATTCCCACAGAACATTCAGCAAGCCTAAACCTGCTATCAACTAAATCTTCCCCAGAGACTGCCTGGATTGTGTCTCAAGAGAAGCAGCACTGTGGAGGGTGGGCAAAGAGGAAGCAAGGCTTGGGTGCTGCTGTTGGGGTTCTTGATGCAAAAGCAATTTACTGATCAGATAAAAAGAACAGTGTTGATTGAATCCCAGTAGATACCAACACACTGACCCACCACATGGCCCACTGGGAGTGCTTAGTGGTGCATTAGGAGATGAAAACAGGATGAAGAGCAGTCAGTTGGTGCTACAGGCTGCTCTCCAGCACAAGGGGGCCCCCCTGCCACTACCAAAGGATTCTTGTCCCCACTTCTCTTGTTATATAACAAAACCCAGGTAAAAAAATCAAAAAACCAAAACCATCCCCTGCAAACAACTTTGCTAAGTGAAGTATCTAAACACAAACAGTTCAGAGGGGAGTGTGCTGATAGCAAGTACTGGTAGGTGTCAAAAAAATTAAGAAGTTTAATGATCACCCTTGTTTCAGGGGGAATTACTGCAATAAAGGCCAAGTGTGCCTGGTTGGCTCACTGGTTCTCAGTCACCCAAGATTTAAATGTGGCTTCAGAAAGAGTATAGGAAAAATTTTGTTAGCCTGACAGAGAGTGTTGTCAAAGAAATTAGAGTAAACTAACTCTAGATAATTATACAAATAGATAATTAAAAGTAAATTAAAATGAAATGGAAAAAAAAAGAAGCTAAAATACCTAATGCAATTAATTTCATTATATATTCTTTGACTTCAGCAAATTATTATTTTCAATTTAATAATTCCTCTCGGGTACTGGGAGCAACAGAACTGATTTGTGCTCAACGATGCAAACAGTTGCATCAACAGGTATTAAAAGTCACCCGTTTCCATTTCAAATTAGTGAGTTTCAGGCAGAGAGAAACTCCTGAGTGGAGGAAAGGCAGCATTCCCAGGTATCAAAGCTGTTCCCTAGATGTGTCCCCATCAACTCCTCAGCTGCCACAGAAGTCACTTGAGCCAAATCCCCTCCACTCAGCATCAGTAACCTGCTCCAACTCCCTATTTATTTTGCAGCTTACAGAGCTCATCCCAGCAAGAGACCTGGGGGATAACAAAATACTTCCTGCACTCTCATTTTCAAACACATACCTCTTCAAGAATCCATCTTAATCCCCGAGCTCTTTCTCCCTGCACAAACTGTTATTTCAGGCATTGAATAACCAAACAGACACTTTCCAAATCAATCAATTGCGGTATTAAGGAAAGAAAAGCAAGCTCAGAGGGAAGAGTGTAAAACCAGACCAAAAACTGTACCAGACAGATTCTCCCAAGTAAGCAGCAAAATGTCTTAATTGGATTGCAGCAGGTCCAGGCTGGGAGCAGGAGCCACAGAAAGGGCATGGCCCAAGCCAAGCCTGGCAGTCCAACTGATAAGATAGGACGTGTAGGTGGATGTGATGGCCAAGGAGGTGCTCATAACCAGGAGAATTCTTTTCAAACCCTGTATTTTAACTTGGGAAGGCCAAAAGCCAGCCTGTCAGTGCCAGTCTGTGGCATGGATGGACTCTAGGCAGGGCTGGGCATGCACATTTGCTGCCTTTTGATCAGAACATGGTGAGGCTTTATACGGACGTAGCTGTGGGCAGATGTCTTTGCCCTGCCAAGGGGAGTGAGCTGAGGTGTTGCCATTCAGCAACACTTTAGTCAGGGTGCACGGAGCAGTTCTTTCACTTTAATTGACTATTGAAACTCAAGTTTTTTTTAGCAATAACCTTCAGAGCAGAGAGATGATATTTTCCTTATTAAAGGGTAAATTAATGGGGATGACTATGTTAATTGAACAATTCCTCTGCAAGAGGGTTGGTTCCACACTTCCTTAACAGTGTTAATTCCCACTGGAAACTTCCTAGGGAAGCTATGAAGACATAAGTGTGATGGGCTTAAATGTGGTCAATAAAGATGTCTTGTCTTGGTTCTCAAGGATCACCACGTGTTCCTGTAGGAAAGCTACACCTATCCCTGTGTTTATCTATTCACATGGAAGAGCTGGTAAAAGATCTTCAGAAACACAGAGAGACAAACTTCAGTTTCACTGCAAGATTTTTCATGTAATCTTTCAGGTCTGTCTTGAGCCACAGTCTCTACAAACCCTCTAAGAAGCAGCTCTTTAATTGCTGCATTCCCACTGCAAATGTGCAAATTGGTTTTCAGGATCTCCAAATGGCAGAGGACTAGTGCAAGGGGGCAGCCAGCCTTCCAGGAGGAGGAGAAACAGCTCTGACTCACAGAAGATGAAAAGAGGGATGAAAAAATAAATAATAAATGAATAAAATAAGATATATATATATAAAATGAAATATAATAGACTAAAATCAAATCAAATCAGGCCCTGAAGTCCTCACAGAGGTCAGCACTCAGCAGGCAGGTCCTGCAAACAGAAAGGCTCTCCTCACCTGCCTGATCCCTAAGCGATAGGCGAGGATGCGATCCACAGCGTTGGGGTTCATCTGGGTCCACTGGAGGCTGTAGGAGTAGACACGGGGTCTGTTCTGCCACAGGGGGTTGTAGGTGTCGTAGTAGAACTCGGGAGCGTAGGCTTTGCCTGCAGGAGGTGGGAACAGAAATGGGGAAAACACAGAAACCAGAGCGTCATCGAGCAGCCAGTTGTGCAGCCAAGAGTTGATGCCCAGTCTGCAACCACCCTCTCCCCATGGGCTTTGGGTCTTCTGGTTCAATACCCAGCAACACACTTTGGAATGAGCTGTTTAGCTCCACTTTTGTAAAGGATTCATAGCAAGGGTCTTCATCATGAACTCGCTCCTCGGGGCATCCATGGCAGGAAGAAATGCCCTGAGCTCTGAGCAAAGCCATGTAAGCTGCCCCTGCACTCATTTTCCATGGCCCAGCTGCCTAAAATAGAGGTACCAAAACAAGCTGCACTGCACTGAGCAGAGGAAGGCACAGTGACAGCTGCTCTACCTGGCACTAATCATAAAGAATGACACCCTGGAGCTGGAAACACACAACGGACATTTCCAGTGACTCTGCCTTCCTCACATCTTCTCTGCTCCACCTTCCCAAGTGCCAATACACACAAGTCCTTGGGAACCCTGCAGATGTCCCTGCTGGTACAGTGTGTGGTTTAGCTGAGCACCCCGATTTGCACGAGGGAAATGACAACTCACGGGGCACCTTGGGTCCAACAGTGTTGCACCAGGACATTATTAGAGCTTCATCCTACAGCACGTGTAAACCCTAAGGATGATTTCCTGAACACATAACAAAGCAGTGCCTGAAGTCACTAAATTTAAGTTCCTTTTGACTTAAGCCCATGAATAGTAATCGGCACGTTTACATGCAAATTACCTTCATTCCTCTAGACTATCTCATCAAGAGTAATTTGTAGAGAACAGCAAAAATGACACAGAGTGCCCAACCATGTGGACAGGGCTCTGAGCAACCTGATCTGGTTGAAGATGTCCCTGCTCTCTGCAGGGAGGTTGGACAAGATGGCCTTGAAAAGTTCCTTCCAACCCAAATCCTTCTGTGATTCTGTGTGGTAGAGACAGTAGTGTCTGCAATTAGAGCTGCCCCAAAATCCTTTGAGGGAACTTTGCTCCACTGAGATGTGAAATTCCAGCACACCTCAAAATATCTCCTTGGGCTTGTCCTAAAGGAAGGCCAAAGAACATTAGAGCACACCCCATCAGATGCTGAAGAGACACAGATCAGTGGGAAGTCACTTTGCACTGACCCCTCTCCAGCAGGCCATGCCAGCAGCACAGCTCCCCTCTGCTTCTTGCAGCAAGAAGGGTTGGACTGGCTTGGAACAATTTTTCACAGCTGGATTTGTAAGAAGAGTTGTTAATCACCCCATTTGGCCCTAGACCTCTTTCCAAGAGGAACAAAACTTCAACTCAAGGAGGGACCATCTTGCATGGAACAGGTCCATCCATGCCCTGCCCAGCTGTGCCTCCTTTCTCTGGAGTTTCTACCCTCTGAGCTTCATGCTGTTAGACACAGGATGGGGCAAACACCAACCAGGCTCTGCTCTGCCAACTGCTGCAGCTTGTCACCTCACTTCTCCAAAAAGGAGGCCAAACATGGGAAGCCAAAAGATTTGCAGATGTTCTCCTCCTGCCAAGGTCTAAAAGAGATTTGTCATTAGAGAAAAAACCCAAGCAGAATGAGGTCTTTCTGCTCCCCAAGCTGACACCTCTGTGCTCCTCCTGTTTCTGCAGGGATTGTGTCAATGGGAGCAATGATGAAATGCAACAAAAGCAGCAGGAAAGCCTGAAGGGAGGGTGAAGTCTGCCTGCCCATGCTGGCCTGGGAGAGGGGTGTGCATCCATCCCTCCCCTCCTTTAATTCAGAGATGAGGGGCTTGTTGTGCCCTAATGCACACTGTATTTAGGTATTTTCTCCTCAAAACTATTTTTATTGACAGGTATAAAAACAGATAGATGGGGAGGCATTTGTAACCTGAAAGTCTGAGAATTTAAAGAATAAGAAATCTAGTGAGAAGAGGGGAAAAGAGCATGAAAAGTATTAAAAACTGAAAAAGGACAAAGGAAAAATGAAGTGAATATATACTAATCTTGTGGTTATTGATGCAGCTTTTATCTTTGGGTGTGTCATCCCTCTCAGCCTTGCTTTTCTTTTCAGAGGATGAAAAGCCTTTTTAGCCAAGACATTTCTGCCAGGTTGCCCAAGGAAAGTGCACATTCAATGAGACCAGACTAGAGCAGAGGCATTAGTGCTGAAGCAGCAAACAACAATATTTTGAGGAATTAAGCAAAGCAAAACTGGTGTTTTAAAAAATGAAATGGAAGATAAACAACAAGGGAATCAATGGTCAATAAGATTTGTTTTCCATATTTATGCAGTGGAAATAATGGAGAAAAGCTCATGCTGAATGCAAATTATAATCTTCCCCCCTTCTGCTGCAGGTGGACATAATGGCATCTCTGGGGGTCTGCAGGAAGGATCCATAATTAGATGCTTGTCACCATATGGGCACTTGAACAACACAATCACCTTTTGAGAAATAATGGGACTCATGGAGAGTTGCATTATCCTAAATCCCTCCAAACAGAAGAGTTTTCTGGTGTGAAAGGGGATGCTGAAAATTTAACAACATGACATTAAGACCTTGTGAACCTCAGAAGTACAAGAGAGCTGGGCCATGTCTTTGAGTGCACAAAAAGCAGACGTTGCCTTTGGAGGTGCAGGAGTTCTGAGACACGTGGGCACTTTGCCCAGCCTTGGCTGGTGTCCCCTGTCACCTCCACCATTTGCTCTGACTCCAGGCAAACACCCCAAGCCTGCCACCACCCAACTGTGCTGCTTCCAAAGGTGATATTGCCAACAAAGATTATCCTTCACTAGAGAACTAAGGAGATGATGAAGAGTGTAAAAGACCTGGCAACAGCCTTTGGCTTAGCATGACTTGACTGTGGGGAGGCAGCAGCTTCCTTGGAGGAAAACACCTGCAGTACAGGTTAGCTCAGCAGCCTCCTTCAAGCTCTGGTCATGTTTGGAAGAAGTTATCACAAATTCCACACCTGCAGAGATGTCTCAAGCAGGCAAGGTGTGGGGCTGCTGTCCCTCATACCCCAGCTGGGCATCCCTTGGGGCTACCAGCTCTACCTGCTTTCCTACAGTCATGCCACCCTCACCTCCCAAAACCAAACCCAGGCCTTTTGTTCTGAGTACAGGGAACATTGCCCTGGCTCACAGAATTTGCCCTTTTTAAGCACCAGCAGGAAAAACACCCTTAAAATCATAGAATCCCAGAATTATTTGGGCTGGAAGGGACATTCAGTCCAACCCCCCTACAGTAAGCAGGGACATCCTCAACTACATCAGGTTCCTCAGAGCCCCGTCCAACCTGACCTTGCCTGTTTCAACAGATGGGGCTTGTACCACCTCTCTGGGCAACCAAAGCCTTCCCTTCTCTCCCTTCAGCTTTTGCAGCATTCAGGTATTTATTAAATAAAAATATAAATAATATAAAAAGGGAGCAACCCTTGCCAGGGTCAAGCTAATGGAGGTTGCTGTGACCAACTGACAGCTCCTCTGCTGCCCCTCCAAGGGGATTTGGGTGCCCTGGGAGGGATCCCAGGTCTGTGCCAATTCAGATATATGGGGACAATGGTGAAACTCTTCTTGGCCCTCAGGAGGGTGCTGGCAAGAGGGGCAGCAGGCCATGCCCAGAGCTCGAGGGGTTACAGGCAGGGCAGCCTCCAGGCACCCAGGAGCTCCACCTCCCTGGAAAGGGCAGCCTCTCAATGATGTGCTGCTCCAGCAGGTCCTGAGGGAGGAGGGTTTAATGCCAAGATACTTCGGGGGTCTGTTGAGGTGATCTGAAGCCAGGTTTAGGGCTCCATTAACATGCACTAGCTTTGATTAATCCCTCCCTCTGTGCTTGCACAGCTGGAAGCTGAGTAACCATGATGCTTGGGGCTCTGCCAGGGAGAGGATCCATAACACAGTTTGAGGTGGAGTGTATTGCTTGTTTTCCTTTCTATCACTAGTAACACATTTATGTTTTTCACCTTCTAAATACGTAGCATGAGCAAAATAAAGAGGGTTAGGATCTGTGTATGGGGAGGGTGGGAGTGGGGTAAGGAGAGGGAATGCCAAAAATTATTTTGCCCATCTGGGTTGGCCCAGCATAAGACAAAAATTACATAAACAGACAGAATAAATGTTTGTATCTGAAGGCTACACAGCTAAACAAAGTGTGACTTCCTCCCCAGCACAGTTGCAGAGCCCACCCAGCACGAGCAGCACAGTGACACATCCTGCTGCATTTGTCACTGTTGTTCCACCAACCGGAACGCACCCACACGTGAATCCTGCAATTGCCAGTTATGGTAACAGCACTGCTGGGCACCTGGGCTGCTTGGGATTTTAGCCATCTCCCTCCCCAGGTTAGCACAGGGAAAAGAAAAAATACCTCAGCACCCAATTCTCTGTTCCCATTCATCTGGATCCACGGGCACGTCCCAGCCCCACAAAGCTTCTGAACTGCAGAAACACCACAGAGTTATTGGCAGTTATTGGCAATAACCACCACAGTGGTTATTGGCAGTGAGCATCAATTTTTCCTTCTTGGGTCTTTAATTTTAAGAGGCCCAATGGCTTTTTTTATTGGGCATGATTGGTGCATTTTCTGCATCTCTACTTACTGCTCTGCAGATGAGAAGCCAGGGGAACATCTCACCCACAGACCCTCCTCCAGGGCAGCAGCCACAGGCTCAATAAGTGACTCCCAGCTCAGTCCCTGCTCAGTGTAGTTAAAATTTGCTACATGTTAATTTCTATGAAAGTCTGAAATAGGTCTTCAGGGAGCTGTGACACCAGATCTCAGGAAATATTGATCTGAGGACATGACTGTGATTAATTAATGCAGCACAAAGATCCCAAGGTCCTTTCTGAATAGTAGCTCCCAAACAATAATGTGTCTTCTGGGTGGGACAAGAATACACTCACTTCCAAGATGTATTGAGCATGAGGATTACTCAGTTGAAGAGCACTTCAGATAGTGGCCAACTTCCCCAGACACTGCCTAATGCACTGGAAGGTACAGCTTATTCG